CTGGTTAGCTAAATGACCTCTTGTTGTTGTTGTTAGCCGCTGTCAAGTTGGCCCCAGACTCATGGCGACCCATCTGTTACAGAGTAAAACTGCTCCATAGGGTTTTGTTTTTTGTTTTTGGCTGTAATCTTTATGGAAGCAGATCACCAGGCGTTTCGTCTGTAGAGTTGCTGGGTGGGTTCAAACTGCCAACCTTTTGGTTAGTAGCCAATTGCAAACTGTTTGTGCCACCAGCCTCCTTAAATGACCTCTGTGAATGATTTTCTGAAATAAGGCACAGCTGAACTACTTGGAGCAGATTTAGAACATGATGGAATTGATCTTTAAGGGAGGCCATTCTCACAGTGATAGGCAGGAAGAAATGGAGGGAAGGACACATTACTTTGGAGAATGAAGAAGGATATGGAGAATGAAGACAGAAATGGGTCAAGGAGGATACCCTGAGTTTTCAGACCTCAGAGAGGGGAATGTTAGGAGGGTAGATTGTTTTGTAGATAAGAGGATGAGCTTAACTTTGAAAATGTTGAGTTTGAAATGACAGAGCCCTCTAAGGCAAATGTTGGGTAGAAAGTTGGACCTAAGAGGCGTAGAGCTCAGGTAAATGTTGGAGGTACAGATGCATGGTCTTTTACTTAAGACTGATGTTTGGAGGCCTTGAAAACAGATGTCTTCTCCACAAGAGAAGCTATGTGAAATGAAGACAAAAACCCCGGGAAAAGGGGAAGAGAAAAGTGATCCAAGGAAAAAGTCAAAAGGGAGAGAGAGAAAGAGAATAAAAGCCTAATTCCAAGAAAGGAAGAGAAGGAAAGTGTTTTTAGGATTAGGCTGTAGGCTTCAGCCTGTTTTACTATGAGCAAATCTCAGTAACGTTGTGTGCCTTCATCGTGTAGGGTGTGTACTAGAAGTGCACTATCCTAGGGTCCGGTTCCCTGGACTACTTTATGAAGCCCAGCTGTCAGGCTGAAGTTTTTGTTAGCAGAGAGACACAGAGAGGCCCTTAAACTTGATGCCTTTAAATTTGGCTTCAAGGAATCTAATTTAGCACGGATGAACTAGTGCATCTCTTGGGAGTGAGAGGTGGGTTGGGGATGGGAGATGATCTCATGGCCACTGTATTGGGCCTGAGGGGAGGGGAGATCTAGATGAAAGGCTGTGGCACAGGGATGAGACAGAATGGGTTTGGAGTGGAGAGATGAGGGACTGGCTGGAGAAGCCTTCTCCTGCCCTCTAACTCAGATCTGCCCCTAAGCTTATCCAAGAAGTGTAGCTTTGAGACCAGTCAAAAGTGTATTATTTTAAAGATCTAAAGAAAGCCAACTCTGCCCTTAAAATCTCTCTTGTACCAGCTTGCTTTTGCCATCAAATCCCTAGACCAAATCTTGGATTCCATAATGGCGGGTAAGGTTCATCGGCATAAATATTTGACAGGGTTAATGCACCATGGTGGAGTCTGACTCAAAGCACAGTCTTTTTCTGGTTTTCTTTGGAGAGAGATGAGAGGATTAGGTTAGAATCAAAGAAAGCTACGAGAAACCAGTTGCCACTGAGTTGACTGTGAGCCACAGCAACTCCATGTTTATCAGAATAGACCTGCACTCTGTAGGGTTTTCAATGGCTGTGACCTTTTGGAAGTAGATCACCAGGCCTTTCTTCTGAGGTGCCTCTGGGTGAATTCAAGCCTCCAACCTTTTGGTTTTATAGTTGAGCACTTAACTGTTTACACCACCCGGGGACTCCAAGAAAGCTATAGGCTACTTGATTTGTAGGAGAGCCTGTATCTCAAGTAAGAAGGAAAATAGAAGGAGAAGGTGGTTCAACATTAACCAGGCCAGGTTATGGTGCAACACAGCAAGGGACAGCTGGGACAGGGCAAAAGCAGTGCTTCATAGAGGACCAGGAGAGGTTACAAGCAAAGGCCATTCATGAACTGTAGGGCAGAGCACATGTTGCATAGAGAACTATATGCTTCCTTTTCCTAACTTGGGTTCCTTTGTTTTATTTTAGTATAGTTTGCATTTAGAAAGTCTAGTTTTAATCATTTCAAAAATTTTGACTGAGTATAGTGAAGATGGAGCTTCCATGGCACGGTGGTTAAGAGCTTGACTGCTAACCAAAAGGTTGGCAGTTCGAATCCACTATCCGCTCCTTGGAAACCCTATGGGGCAGTTCTACTCTGTTCTGTAGGGTCGCTTGGAGTGAGAATCAACTTGATGGCAACGGGTTTTGTTTTTATAGTAACCTGTCATGGGCTTGCTGTTCTGCGCCTTTATTATAAGGCAGACCTCTCAGGGAGGTGCTGGCTACATTTTGTACAATTTACTAGATCCCCCTTGCAGAGTGATAGTATCCAAGAGGTGTCTTGCATTGAAGACCTTGAAATTGACAGTTTATTTGAGGTGGGCCTGGGGGGGAGTAAAACAATGTTCAAAATAGTTTCATTTTAATCTCCATTAGTAGAATATACTGTTCCATCATGGAACTAGTGCAGGATACAAGGGCTTATTAAGACAGAAAGTTTTTGGAATTGAACCATGTCTCCTGACCAAAGACTGGGTTCAGTTCTTCTGTCTCCTCAGGCTAGGGGGAGTGTGATCTTGGAAAATTAATTCAGTCTCTGAGTCATAGTTTTCTCAAGTGTAAATTGACAAAAGTATCACTTGCCACTAATTAAATGTAGATCATGTGGAACACTTAGAGTTCTTTAACTGAGAAATTAGAATAACTTAGGTTTTTAAATATATGTAAGTCTGCCTGCCTCATTACCTTTATAGGAAACATAGAAACAGAATGAATAAAAAAAAAGTTGAGACAAAAGGAACCATGAAAATTAGCAGTTTTGCCATAATTCTTCAAATGTTCTGTATTTAGTTCCTTTTGAGGGAATTGAGGAAAGGGAAGTGGAGTAATGAAATGTGGGCATCATCGGGGAGGGGAGGCAAATGAGACCATTGAGGAAATACACAAGAAAGCAGAGCCTGATTGGAGAGATAGAGAATTGAACCAAATTCAATTGAAAATAATTCAGCCTGGGAGGTGGTCAAAAATGGAAAGTATGGTCCCTCCTGTTGGAAGTCAGGAGAGATAGGGCAAGGGAAAGGGACTTGAGAAAGGTCATTGGGTTTGGGAGAGCAGGATTTTATTGGTGATCTTTGATAATAGCATTAATAAGTGCCAAGCACATGGCATGGATACTATTATTCTTACTTTACAGCTCTTCACTGTGTCCAAAGAGAGGCTTCAGGAGGCTAAGTAAGGTCCACAACCAGTAACAGAGGAGCTAGGCTTTGTCCCCAGGCCCATCAGACTTCAAAGCCAGTCCTCTTACCACCACCCTGGGGGCTTGATCGGCAGGTGGAATGGAAGTGAAACCACAGGTGCTAATGGGGGTGGGTGAGCAGCGAAGTTATGGAGGTCAGGCACTTGTTCATAAGTTTGGTTGTGAAAGAAGGAAATAAATGGTTGCTTGAGTCACAGTCAAATGGTTCACCCTCCCCACACACCCTCTATAAAAAGAGATTTATTTGGAACTCTTAAAAGAGGGAAAAGTACAAGATGCTGAGGGAAAAAGGGATAAAGTTTCTGCCCAGTAGGGCTGTTCTGGGCCCTTCCTCATGTTCAACCTTTGGTATGTCTTGTAAATAATGCAGTGTGTGATTTTTTAAAAATTGAACTATGTGATAAAGTGATGTCTTTGAAGTCATAGTTACCATGGTGGGAATTTGCCAGGTGGGATCTAGAAGTAACGGGGAATTTCCCCCAGGGTGTCACTTCCCTATGAATTTTTTTTGGAATTCATTGATTCCAAGTAGCACATAAATAAACTGATAAAAATGCTTAACATGCCTTTAAGTTGAATACCATTCTTGATGTTTCTGCCTCACATGATCCTCAGCTTCCAGTCCTGTGTTCTTCCCATCCCTCCACCCTTCTCTTCCATTTTGGTTTCCCCATGAGTCGTCCTGCGTGGCACTTTTGTGTCTAACCTGTTTGCTTCCACAGAAGCAAATGCAATCTGAGCTTGAGGAAGAGCTCTCTAATCAAAATGCTGAAAGTCAACTTCTACCTCAGGACTGGCTTTCTCAGAGTTGGTTGACACTCTTATAGAGAGTGGAAGGTTCTATGCATTTAAATAAAGTGAATTTTAGAGCTGTAATGCGGTCAAGGAACTTGTTTTCATTGTTTCGTTAGTATGAATGTGTAGTGTCTCAGGCTGGATGGATCATTCAGGCACTCTAAAGTAGGGACATGGGGTTGCTCGACTGGACCCCATCCGGGCAGAGGGAGGCTTCGGCTCTGAGTGTGGCCCGTGCTATCAGCCAGCCACCCAGTGCAGAACCCTCAAGTGGCCAGAGGTGATGGCAAACCACACCTGAGGAAAATTTATCCACAGTTTCCTCTGTGTTCCTATTCGTGGGCCATTCAGTGAGGCAGAGCTTTTCCTGAGAAATAATTGCAGAAGAGATGACACAATTCCTTCTTAGAGAGAAAGCCTGCAGTTGACTTTTTGAGCACTCCATCCAGGAAGGAACACTTACAATGTATGCAGTGCAGTACTTTCCATAGACAGTTATGCAGCCCTGCTTAACCCCAAACCCACTGCCTACAGGTGTAAGCGTTTTCAAAGGCCAGCCGGATGCTGTGGTACTATTTCCTTGAAGGAAAATGAAAGAAACTGAATACCCAGCAGTACATTCTTAGGCAGAAATGTGCTTCATTAACTCCAGGCTAATTTAAAGAAGTAGGGAATGCATTCAGTAGATAAACATGACCTCAGCATTAAGAAAGTAGACAGGGAGTAGAATTTAAGCTAAGAAAAGGGAGGGAAAAGAAAGTGTTCTCAATTCTTTTTTCTTTTCTTCTTCCTAGCAAGAACCAGTTGAGTCATCTTTGGGGCTTAGTAATGGAGTAAGTGATCTTTCTCCTGAGTATGCGGTCCTGACTTCAGCTATAAAAAATGAAGTGGATAGTACGGTGAACATCATAGGTAAACTGTTTTGACATCTCCTTTTTTTGTACACATGAGTGGCCTCTGAGGGTCTAAAATTTGTAAAGCAGTGATCTTGAAAAACATAGTCAGAAGGATGAGGTGTTGGAACCATCTCAAAATGCAAGTTCCGGCCCCAAGATTTCAGGGCTAAAAAAATAAAAGCCTTTGAGGATCAGATAAAGGAACTTGGACGTGTCAGCCTGAAGAAAAGAAGGCTGAGAGTGGTTTCCCAGCAGAGTCCAAGTAGATGAAATGTTTTTTCCCAGTGGCTAATGATTAGCAATTCTCAATCTTCTTTCAATATTTGGTCATGTGAACAAATACATTGTGTATTTAACCTGGGCACCAAGGAGAGGGAAAACTCTCTTCATGAATTTGCTAAGCATCTGTTTCGTGGCTCACTTGCTACTGCTACAAAGATGGTGCTCACGTTACAGGTGAAGAAACTGAGGCACAAAGACATGTTACCAAAGGGCAGACTGAGATTCAGCAGGTATGTTTGAGTAGCTTCCGTACACCACACTTAGTCTATGAGCAGGAGACAGAGTAGGGAATGAGGACCTGATTTCTGTCCTCATGGGAGGAGACAGATAGTTAACAAATAAACCCACAGCTAACGGAAGCATTACCAGTTGTGATAAGTGCTACAAAGGAAAAGAACAGCAAGATGAGGGAATGACAGAGGACCGCATTTAGACTGGGGAGCCAAGGGGGCCTTTCGGAGGAGCAACATTTCACCTGAAGCCAGTGGGTGGGGGGAACTGCCCATACCGGACCCCTCCACACTTGGGAGAAGAGAAAGAAAGGTAGTGCGGCTGAGCATGGGGAGAATGGCATGAGATTTGGTTAGAGAGGGAGGCAGGGACGAATCATGTGGGCCTTGTAGGTCATGGGAAGGAGGTTGGGTTTTATTCCAAGCGTTATGGAAGGGATTGTTTATGAAATCATTTTATTGAAGTATATCATATATACAGTAAAGTGCAGAAATGTTGTTACACACATACACAATGTAACCACCATGGAGGGTTTTAGGCAGGGAGGTGACAAGTTGTGAATTATATTTTAATAAGGTCCCACTGGGCTACTGTGGTGAGTGGGTGGTGGGAACCAGGTGCAAGAGTAGAGGCCTGGCAGTGAGCTTGGATTAACTATAGCCCCAACCCAGAGCCAGAATTCTTTGCTTAGACTGCTGTTTGAATTAAACTTTGCTGAATTTTGCAAACAGTCAGGGCTTCCGATTTCTTCCATCAGGTCATGTGAGAACCAGAGAGATCCTACAGAGCCAAGCAAGCTTTGTGTTTGGTTACCTGTATTCTGGATTAGGGGTTGAGTGCCTACCAGAGGCTGCAGATGTAAGGGCTTTGCAGCCCAAGAGAGCGTTAAGAGGGCATGACCCCTTCTTCCCCCCTCGGTTTTAGAGGTTTGGAAGTAGAATCATACATTCAGGAACTGTCTTGAACTTCAGCAGAGTGTTTTGGCAGAAAGAAGAAGAAAGCATATATTGAGTGCACACCATATGTCAAGGTAGACATGGCCTTGCCTTGCTCCCAGAGCTAACATCTAGACTTGCCACTTCTGCATGGAGGCAGTTTGTCCCACAGTACATGGTTTTTGAGCTGAGAGGGATCTTGGCGGTCAAGCATTCTCTCACTTCTGATGAGGAAGCTGGGCCCTGTGAAGTGAGGCTACTTGCCTGACAGAAGCCCCAGCTCCCCGGTCTCCCTCCTGCCTCCCGCCTCCATGGCTCTTTCCCTGGCTGGCTTGAGCAGCACTCCAGGGTGGCCTCATTCACCACCCTCCCGGTTCTTCTGACTCTCGTTTTATCCTGCCTTTCTTGGCAGGCAGTCATTGGAAAGTACGTGCCCATGGAGGCTTTTTAAAAAAAATGAAGACGTTTGCCAATTCAGGAACTTTTCTTAAGATTCACCTTATTTTGAGTTTGTTGGTTTTCAGAACCCCCCTCCATTTATGAGGTAAATTCAGCCCAGATAAAATACCAAACAAAACCCTCAATTGTACTAGAGTTTACTTTTTAGGAAAAAAAAATGTTTTTGAGTCTTCAGTATGAAAATTCTCTGTCCAGTTAATTGTTCTTTGCCTTTTGTACAATTTTCTGCCTGGAGCTGGTGCTCACTTGATGAGTCATTTTACCCTCTTCTAAGGCAAAGAAAAACACCAGGTTTGGTTAGGGAATCACCTAATGGATTGAATGATTCTCTTCCTGGGTTTAATAAGGAATTAGTAATAAACAGCAGCAAAATGAGATTGAATATCTCTTTTTAATTCGTCAGTAGCCCTTATGAAGTATACAATTATTTATGAAGTGGATAGGTGCAATATTTTAAAGAAATGGGTAATTTGTGATCATTGATAATAATAGCGATACCTCAGATTATTCAGCCCTTCACAGAGCTTTACCTACACTCTGATCAACATTAGTTGTTGGAGGGCTGTGTCCTGGTCAGCCTTCTTCTCCATAAGAGCTGAGTGCGTACCTTCAGATTTAGCTAGCTGTGTACACCAACATCATGTCTTCTAATATTCCGTCTCTCCTGTATGGTTAAATGCACAGTGTTTAGCACCCAAAAGACCTAGCTCTGCTTTCCCTTTAAGGAGAGGGAGAAAAAAAATTTATTTTTCTTTAGCATTGGATTTTTTTTCTTTTTTTGTGGTGACTACTGTTTTAGGAAACGGAAGAAGCCAGCTACATGTTGAATTGTTCTGACAACACCCAGCTGGCATCTTGCCCAGGTTAGTGGTGCTTTTCCTGGGCTGTATTGAAATGATCTCCAGGCCAGTGTAAAAGATTTGCAGGTGCGAACATTCTGTCTGACTTGCCTAGGCAGTGCTTTATAACCCCATTGTGTTTCTTGATAAAAGGTAACCCCACCCTCCAATAAAACAAAGATTACTATGGAACAACGGAGGCTCTTCATTACTCTGAATTAAAGAAAGAAATCCTTAGTGACTATACATATAGCAATTAAGAAATATGTATTTTGGATTTTGTCTTAATTTTGGCTGCCCAAAATTCACCTGATAGGGCATTCTTTTTTTGGTACTTGCTTTTAAATTTCACTTAACTTTATCTGAAGTGAGCCGTGAGCAGCTTTTTTAGCCAAGCTTGGAAACCCACGTATCACTAGGGAGGACTGAAGAAGCAGGAGAACAGATTTGCAACTTAGTGACCAGCTTCAGGTCCTCCCCATGAGGGCCTCGTGGTTATAGTTTAGGTTGGCAGCCTCTGGCACCCGAATTCCCTGTGGTTTCAGGGATGGCCGGGGGGTGATACTGGACAGGGCTGGGCTGGACAACTATCTTCCTGTTTCCCTATCCCCTTTCTTCCCTGTCCTTGTCTCCAACTTTCCTGGGGCTTAAGATGTGAAATTCCATCTAGAATTTAAAAATCAGCCTTGAGGTGGATCTTTAGATAGAAGGTGCTCCCTCTGAAGAGGGAGAGAGTGAAGATCCTCCATGCTCGTGTTCTGTGGGTTGTCAACTCTGCCCCATGCCTTCTCCTGGGAGGCCAGAGACATCAGAACCCCTGGAAACTCTTAGCAACATAGAACTCCATGTGAGATGTACAAGATCTCACAGTGTACCCAGACATAGAACTGATAGCATACCTTGCTCTTCCGCAGCTGATTGGGCCACCGAGGTGAGTCTCATGGGCCTGCTCCGTGTCACCATGTGTTAACAGGAGCCCCCGGCAGTGGAGCTAGGCTCTGGTTTCTCAACCTTAACAAATTTTTATTTACCCAAGAAACCTTTTTACGAGGCTGTACTTGTTTTTGTTCTCCTCCCCACCTTGCCATCCCTACCCCATTTATAATTAACTGTCACATCCACCTGTCTTCTCTCATCGTATTTCTCACATCTATCCTCTTCTATTTCTCATACCAGTCACCTTCACTCCTGCCTGAGGGCTGCTTCCATTTTGCCACCTCTCCATTTATTCTCCACACGGAGTGATTTCTAAAACATGACAATCTCAGCATGTCACCATCCATGGCCACCTATTTGCCCCCAGGATAAAGAACCAAGTCTTCCTCACATCCTGTGTGACTGGGCTGCTGCCCATCTCTTTCATACCTGATTTTGAATTTGAATTATTCTGAGCAGTTGGACCCGTACATGGTTCTGTGTAGAGAAAGTGAGTCTGGTGTTGTGTTTTGTTATTGTGGAGTGGCCACTAAGGCTCTGTTGGCACAGCACAGCAAGAAACGGACATTTGGCAGCTGAATCAGTAAATGTAAGCTGTCAATCCAAGAAGTCTTACCCAGATTTCTGCTCCCAGATTATGGACCCTGAGACGTATTGACTGACTGCTGATTTTTTTATTGGGACCCATTATTTGCTCCCCTTCGTATAGTATTAACGGCCTGTGATACTGTTTACTAGTGGAGGTGAAGTTTACACTGCACCAACCACACTCTTACGTCATCCTGCAACTAAAACCAACCTGTTGGGCTGGTTATGGGCTACAGCTGGGGCCAATCTGACCCATGCAAGGACAGAACTCCTTTCTCTGAAATTGCTGTTTCACGTTAGGGTTGTTGCAAGGATCAAATGAGATGTATCAATAAATCACTCTGTGATTAGAGGTAGTGAAATAATATTATGATTATTATATTATCAAAATCATATTAAAGTATGTTTGGGAAACAAAATTAGCCTCCATCTATGCTGAATCCTCAGGGCTGGTATCAAGAGTTTCAGTACTCAACTTTCCAGACAGGATCAAAAAGAACTTTCCATTGTACCATGCTGGTGGCTTAATTTTATATGCTTTGCTAATAAGTTTTACTCTTGACTGTGCAGCTATCTGGATGACCTTGGCCATTTACCTGACCTCTCTGGGTTTCAGTTTTTTCAACTGTAAAATGATAGCACCAAGTCACCTCTAAGGGCTTTTCTGTTTCGAATTGTCTCTGCTTTGAAGAGGTTTCTCTGGGTTATAGGGGGCAAGCTGCTTTCTCTAGTTGAGCTCTCCACTGAGTCAACAATTGTTAATAAAGTAAGGATGACCTTTTAAGAATCAAGTTGGCTTATCACTAACCAGCCATGAATAATGTTGTAATTCTCAACATCTAGGTTCAGGTAAAATTACATTCCTTGGATAACTCTTTCCATCATGTACTGGCCTTAGTAAGCTGGGGAAGCTTAGTGAATTCTTAGCTCCTCCAACCATTTCAGAATTTCCTTGGCACTCAACATGTAACCATTGAAAAGAAGTTTCACTATTGGTTGTAAGCCCAGAGTCTCATTAAGGTGAGATTTGAAAATTTTTATCCTGCCAGGGGCTTAAAAAGCAGAGTAGGTGAGTTTGAACTTCCTTAACTCTTTTCTTTTGCAAAAGCATTTAAGAGTTGAGCTCTGGGGTCAGGTGAAGCTGAATTTGAGTCCTGGTTCTGCCACTTCCTAGCTGTCTGACCTTGACTGAGTTATTTAGCTGTCCATGACTCTGTTTCCTGTCTCTAAAATGGACACGATAATTGTACCTTCCTCATCGGTTTATTATTATTATTTTATTGTGGTAAAAATATATGTAACAAAATATTTGCCAATTCAGCATTTTTTTTACATATACAATTCAGTGGCATTGGGTATAACGTTCATCATGCTGGCAACCATCACCACTATCTGTTTCCAAATTATTCACCACCCTTATAACAGAAATTCAGTCTAAGCTAAGACTCCTTTCTTCCAAAAGTCTCTGTCCCACCCCTGGTAACCGCTGATAAACTTTGGTCTCTATGCATTTGCCTGTTTCATATAAATGAGATCATAAAATAACGTGTACCGTTTTGTGACTAACTTAATTAAATCAGTATAATGTTTTCAGGGTCCATCCATGTTGTAGCATGTATCAGGACTTCATTTCTCTTTATGGCTGAATAGTATTCCATTGTGTATATTACATTTTGTTTATCCAGTCATCTGTTGATGGGCACTTCGGTTGTTTCTACCTTTTGCATATTTGTGACCTCATAGGGCTTGGGAATCATACTGGTAAAGCACTTAGAATAGAATCTGGCAAAGGTAAGTGCTTGGGAAGTATTAGGTTTTATTATTGTTGTTAATTACAATCAGGATACTCTTTAGCATCTAGTGCGGTGCTGCTTCTGACCTTGGTTGTTGCAATAGATAGCTAATCATTTGTGAAGTGTCAGAGATGCTGTCTGTCTTGCCATCCAGGGCAGAGTTTGTTTGGGGAAATCAGCTCACCTGGCATGAAGGGAACAGAGATTGAGTGACTAGGGATGGTACCCAAAGCATACTAGATCATGTCTCAGATATTGGGATTTCCCTGCATCTATCTTGGGTTTGCGACTTGAGAGTTGGGAATAATTTCTCAAGTGTTCTCAAAGATGTTCAGATGGAGAAAAGTGGGAGTCTCTTACCGAGGCATAAAGCTGCACACTCTTTTGGAGCTAATTTGATGTTAGAGATAACGCAGTTATCTTAACTGGACATGCAGATTGTGGCTCTGAAAACAAAAACGTATTTTTGCATCCTGGGCACCAGTGTTCAGGCTGCACTTCAAATCAGAATAGAGGTACTTATCTCTTAGTTTTCTTATGTCATATGTGTTGAGGTATAATTTGTATACAGTAAAATTAACCCTTTTTAGGTGTACAGTTCTAGGAATTGCGGCAAATGCATGCAGTTGTGTAACCACCACCCTATTCAAGACAGAGAACATTTTCATCACCCAGAACGTTTGCTCGTGCCCTTTGCTGTCAGTCTCCTCCCCAACCTCCACCACCTAGCAGCCACTGCAGTGGGTATGTCTTTATAACTTCACTTAGGTTCAGAAGAGCCTAGGTCTTCAAATTTTCTAAAAAACATTAATTGTCCCATCCTATATTTGTAAGGGAGCTCTGGTGGCGTAGTGATTAAGAGCTATGGCTGCTAACCAAAAGGTCAGCAGTTCGAATCCACCAGCCGCTCATTGGAAACCCTACAGGGCAGTTCCCCTCTGTCCTATACGGTCTCTATGATTTGGAATAGACTCCATGGCAATGGGTTTTGTTTTTTGCTTTTTATATTTGTAAGTTATCATGAACTCTTGCAAGATTCTGGGTTTTTGGCTCCCAAGGGGAATATCTGGACCAGCCAGGGAGCCTCATCCCCTTGATCTGTCCATTCATTCAGCAGTGGCCCCCTGAGCTGCTCTCTGGAGATGCCATGAGCATGTGCTATGACTGGATACAAAAGTTCTCATACAGGTTCTCAGCTCTTCCAGGAGCCATCACCTGGCTAGGGAAATATAACATATACAGATAAAAAGTTAATTAAGGATACAGTTACCCAGCAACACAAGGCAGAAAGTCAAGAAATGTCACAAGGTGGTGTCACATTGTAGTTTTCACTGAGCAATTGGGACAGTGAGTGAGGGGTACGCAGAGGAGAGACCGGTCAGTATGTGCTGGAGTGGTCAGGAGGGGGCTTCAAAAAACAAGGCATTCTCAGTACTGCCTAGGTCTCAGTCCCCCACCCCACCCCACCCCACCCCCTGCCCCAGGCTTCCATGTTACTGCCTCCTTGCAGTCTTTGATCCCTCTAACTGGAAGCAATTGTCCCCTTCGTCAACTCTCATCACATGATTTCTTGCCACTCACCCCCCCCTTTTTGGTTTTTTTTAATTTTCACTACTGCCTTGTATTTATTCTCTAGATTTATGCATGCTGGCCTATAGCCCTACTAGACTTGTTACAAACAGGATCCTTGACTGACTAACGTTTCTGTACTGTCTTAAGGAGCCTTGGTGGCACAGTGGTTAAGTACTTGGCTGCTAACCAAAAGGTCAGCAGTTGGAACCCACCAGTGGCTCCAAGGAAAAAAAATGTGGTGGGCTGCTTCCGTAAAGATTTAAAAAAAAAAAAAAAAACCAAACCCATTGCCATCAAGTCAATTCCAACTCATACCGACCCTATTGGACAGAGTAGAACTGCCCCATAGGACTTCCAAGGAGCGGCTGGTGGATTTTAATTGCCGACCTTTTGGTTAGCTGCTGAGCTCTTAACCACTGTGCCACCAGGGCTCCTTGGAAACCCTATGTGGCAGTTCTACTCTGTCCTACAGGGTTGCTATGAGTAGGAATCAGCTTGATGGCACACAACAACATAGCCTCATAGTACTTGGTAACAGTGTCTTGTGCAAAGCATGCATTGGTTGAATAACTGAGTTGGGCATTATGGGGAAAAGCAGTGAGGGAGAGAATTCCTGGTCAGAACAAAGGGATATAATTAGGAAGATACTTGAGGTGCTGCCATTGTTTATACTCAAAGCTGCCTTACTGTCTTTCTATTAAGAATTACAGTACAGCCCCTCCTTCTCTCTCCCTCCCCTCCGGGGACCACCAGGCGCCACGCTGCAAATGCAAAAAATGGGAAAGAAACAGAATGGGAAGATTAAAAAAGTCGAAAAGGCAGAACCTGAAGAATTTGTGGTAGAAAAAGTGCTGGACCGACGTGTAGTGATTGGGAAGGTGGAGTATTTCCTGAAGTGGAAGGGATTTACAGATGCTGACAATACTTGGGAACCTGAAGAAAATTTAGATTGTCCAGAATTAATTGAAGCATTTCTTAATTCTCAAAAAGCTGGTAAAGAAAAAGATGGTACAAAAAGAAAATCTTTGTCTGAGAATGAATCTGATGACAGCAACTCAAAGAAGAAAAGAGAGGCTGCTGACAAACCAAGAGGCTTTGCCAGGGGTCTTGATCCTGAACAAATAATTGATGCCACAGACAACAGTGGAGAATTACTGTTTCTCATGAAGTGGAAAGACTCAGATGAGGCCGACTTGGTGCTGGCAAAAGAGGCAAATGTGAAGTGCCCTCAAATTGTGATTGCCTTTTATGAAGAGAGACTAACTTGGCATTCTTGTCCAGAAGATGAAGCTCAATAATTGTTTGCATTGCTTTTTATATATATTTATATATATATACAATCTAGGTCTTGGTTTTTTGATTTATTAATGTGAAGAATAACTACCTTCTAATGGAAATCAAGTTTGATATGTTTGTTTTGAAGTAGTATTGGGGGAGTTGAGGTTTTTTAGTTGTTTTTTTGTTGCATCAATAGCACTGGTTACTTTGAACAAATAAATAAAAGCTTTCTGTAGTTGCCTCATTTATCAGAAAAGAACATTTGATACTGTGGTATATTATTTCCTCTGCATTGGAGAATAGCTTTTGTAAATACTGGAAAAATTTACATAGTTGTTACTGAATCAGAACTTGTGTTTAACCCATACTGTATTCCTAAGGACCATTCTGAGTTTTTTGTTTTTTTGTATTCATGTGTGTGTATACGTATGTAAATTTTATTTTATTTACATTCACCAAAAGCAAAAAATTCTAAACAAAAATGGCATTTTACAACCACAGGTAAGTATATTGTATCAGGGATGCTGTCATTCTGAGCAACTCAAGAAATAGACCACCTCAAGTTAAACTGAAAAAATTTTTGAAGCCATAGGTTTCAAATCAAGTAAGTGATCCTGTAATTAATTGGACAATTTGAAACATCCATATCAAAATCCGTATCTATATAGTCATATAAACAAAACCGTTTATTTGCAAAATTCCCTGAGAGGAAAATCTAATCACTACTAAAACCTCCCCACCCAGATAAGAAAACTAGGCAAATACTGGTATGATTTAATAAGCCAAGCAAGGCTTAGTTTTAAATGGACATTCGTTTCTTCCAGAGAGCCGTTCCTTTAGGGAAAATTGAAATCCCTGTGTTATATTGACTTAAAGGTGGTGGTTCATGGAATGTCTAAGACCTTGCTGATGAAAATCTGATAAGATGGTTAGATGTTGTAGTTTAGGACCTGCTGGCATAAATGGGTGAACAAACTTTTGTAATCTGAACTACTGACCTGCATGTTTTTCTTTACCCCACCTATTCCTTACTTGTAAGTTCAGTCTTCTCAGTACTTGGGTTACTGGTTCAGCTGAAGCCAGAAAAAACAACTTTGTAGTAATCAGAGTGTTAACCCAATTGTATATTGTTTACTTAATTGTAAATACTGGTGAACAGTTGTCAATAAATAGTTTTATATTTAAAAAAAAAAGAATTATAGTTCCAAAGAGAAGTGAGTTTTGGAATGTAGGAAATTAAAGTGGCTTTGATTTAAATGAAGTTGTTTATAAGACCTTAATTGCCTTAGTATGCAAGGTATCACTAGTTACACCCCACCCCACCCCCCACCCCCACATACACACACAGTTTGGTTTCTGTCTCCATTCATCAGCTGCTTCTCAGAACAAGACAGGTCTAGGAATCAGTTCTCATTTTCCTACCATTTTATTTACTTGGGAGAAGAGGCAGAAGAAACTTTGAGAGAGGCCAGCGTGGGCACTCAGTCTGTGTATGGGGAACTGCATAACTGATACTCTCATACTCAGATGGGATGGTCCAATGGATGAAATAAGACACTGGGAGTCTGCCTGCCGTATATAGCCTGCTTTCCTTTTCATTAATTTCATCTCCTCCAGGAAAACCTAAACAGCATCCATTTCCCTTCCATTCTGTATACTGTGGCTCTGTGGACTCTTACCACATCCCCAAATCCCCCTTCCCAGCCTCCTGTGTGCCTTTCCTTTCTTAATTAGAGAACCTGTGAACTACCATTGCCCTCTAAAACCTTCGCTGAGTAGAAGCGAGATAATCCTTACACTGTTGTTTTTAGCTGCCATGGAGTTAGCCCCTGACTCCTGGTGAGTCCATGATACAGAGTAGAACTGCTTCATAAGGTTTTCTTGGCTGTAATCTTTATGGAAGCAGTTTGCCAGGCCTTTTCTTCCATGGAGCCAGTGGATGGGTTCGAACTGCCAACCTTTGGATTAGCAACCTATCACAGACTGCTTGCTCTACCCAGGCTCATCAACCTCTAAAAAGCAGTTAAAACAGGAGGCCTTTATATACCACGATGGCTGTCCATGGTGGCTAATTTTTCAAGGAGATTGGAATGTGACCCCCTTCCTGCCTAGTGTGAACATGGTACAGATGGGCGAGATGTCAGGGAGAGATAGCACTGCACATAATCCAAGCTGTGTGACTTTGGACAGTCACTCTACCTCTCTGTGCCTGAGTTTCTTCATCTGTAACAGCAGAATGATGTCAATCTTACGGGCTGAAATGTTAAAAGCACTTATACAGATGTAAGTAAGATATTGATTATGGTGGTAAAGTGCTGTGAGGACCTTGGGAAAACACTGTGAGTGCCTTTTTATTATCTTCCCATGTATTTACTGGAATCGGTTTTCAGGGATATTTCATCCAATCAACTGCCAACAGCAGTATAATGTCAGTTCTGTTTAAAATTAGGGTAGGGCATTAGGATCATCAAGTCAAAACCACAATGAGATATCACTACACACCTGTCAGAACAGCTAAAATAAAAAAGTGACAACTGCAAATGCTGGTGAGAATGCGGAGAAGTTAGACCACTCATATATTGCTGGTGGACTGTAAAATAGTACAGCTACTCTGGAAAACTGTTTGGCAGTTTCTTGTAAAACTAAACATGCAATTACCATATGACCCAGCAATTGCATTCTTGGGCATTTATCCCAGAGATATGGAAACTTATGTTCATGCAAAAATGTGTACACTAATGTTTATAGCAGCTTTATTCATAATAGCCAAAAGCTGGAAACAACCCAGATGTTCTTCAATCAGTGAATGGTTAGATAGACTGCTCCTGTCATACCCTGGAATACTACTTAGCAATAAAAAGCAGCAAACTATTGATACAGCAACTTGGATGAGCCTCCAGGAAATTATGCTCAGTGAAAAAAGCCAATCCCCAAAGGTTACTGTATGAATGCATTTAAGTAACATCCTTGAAATGATAAGAATTATAGAAATGGAGAATATAGATTACTGATTGCCAGGGCTTAGAAACAAGGAGGTGGTGGGGGAGAGGGAAGCTGGAAGGAGCTCGGCGTGGTTGCAAAAGAGTAACAAAAGAGATACTTGTGGAGATGGAACTGTTCGGTATTTTGACTGTGGTAGTGGATGCCTGAACCTACCACGTATGATAAAATTGCATAGAACTAAATATACACACATACACAAGTGAGTACAATTAAACCTAAGGAAATCTGAACAAGACGAGTGGATTGTATCAACGTCAACATCCTGATTGTGATATTGTACTATAGTTTTGTAAAATGTGACCATTGGAGGAAACTGTGTAATGGATGCCTTAGATCTCTCTGTACTTTTCTTACAAATGCATATGAGTCTACAGTGATCTCAAAAAGTTTAATAAAAAATGATAAATATCATGGTAGGGTTCAGAGGCAGGGTTGTCAGAATCCATCTTGTCAGTATACTGAGAAATTGATGCTGCCAATGTTTGTTAGAATTGGGAAACTGACTCTGTTACATTGTTTTGATATTTCCTCCGGTTATCATGTTGCCTGCAGAGCAGGAGGAGGACTGGGAGTATGAACAGAGACCCTGCAGCTACAAGTGACACAAAGATGTGGATTTGGGTGGACCTGCCTCCTTATTAAAATTCGATCATGTCTCTCTGGACCACAGGGCCCAGAAAATAGCACAGCAGCCTCCATCAGAGCAAGGGTGGAGAACAAAATGGGTCAGGGTCCAAGTACTGTCATTCCTGGCCCAAGGGCTAAGTCTGGGTGCAGCCTTGGGTCGTGGAGCCTTGACTGTGACTGGCTTGAGTTTGGGACTCTGCTGAGATAGATGGGATGAGGCCACCTGTAAGCACCATTGGCAGGCATGCTGGAAACAGCCCAGGGTAGCCAGATTATTGGCAGACTGCTTTTCTGGAGACATCGGCCCAAATCTAAGGCTTGTTCTTCAGCTTCATGGCAGGTAGCAGGCTCTTTGGGGGAAGATTTTCTTTCCAGAGTGTGTGCTTTAATCGCAAAGTCAGGAGACCTCAGTGCATGATGACTGTCTTTTCTTTGAAGTTGTAGGACAGTCTCATTTGGGCAGCAACATTGAGGATCAAGAGATTGTCACTAACCCGCCAGACATTTGCCAAGTTGTGGAGGTGACCACTGAAAGTGATGAGCAACCAGTCAGTATGAGCGAGCTCTACCCTCTGCAGATATCCCCTGTGTCTTCCTATGCAGGTAAGCTGGTGGGATGGAGATCTCTGAACTGAGCCAGGAACGAGGGAGGATGCTCCTTTAGTCTAGAGCCAACAGCTTCACCACACAGCAGGGAATCTCTCCTCTGTCCTAGGGATTATTCTTGATGGAATTATTCTTGCTTTAATTTTCTGGACCAATGTCTTGTTGGACACTTTTGTGCCCAGTTAAAAGATATGGTCACAGCATTTCTTCACTCGATCACATTTTTAACACTTCTGTGCATGACTAACAAATATTAAGATTTCTTTGGGGAACCAGTTAGAGTCTACTTTATTTTCACTGCAGGTATTCAGAAATCCTGCAGGGTGTTTTTAATGGTGTTTGACCAAACTGGATAGGAGATTAGAGGTCATGACTTCCAGTGCCTTCACTTATAAGTGAAGTGATTTGCCCAGATTCACACAGCCAATAAGTGTTTGTGCCAGGACTGGAAGCCAGTATTCAGACCCAAAGCTCATTGCCGGGCCTAGCCCATTATACCAAGTTTCCCTGTCACTTCCATGTATTTTCTCCTCTTTTTCTGTTTAGTCAGCTTCTCATCCAGCCAGGTGTCCCAGCTCATTTCTTTTTCCCCAGGAAATGGCCATATAGTTTCAAGAATTGATCTAGACACTGTCAAAGCATTAGAAACAAATTCTATTGTTTCTTCCATCCTTACAGAATAAAGTGATGGCTTATTTTTCCTATCAGTGTCACATCATCTGACACTCTCTTCCTGATGATCTCCACTTAATTTTGGGGACTCTTTCATAATTGTTGTTGTGTGCCTCTGAGTCGATTCTGACTCAGAGTGACCCTATAGGACAGAGTAGAATTGCCCCATTGGGTTTACAAGGAGCAGCTGGTAGATTCAAACTGCTGGTCTTTTGGTTAGCAGCCAAGCTCTTAACCACTGCGCCAGCAGGGCTACTCTTTCATAATTAGGAAATAGAAATTCTAAGTCAGTGTTATTACTTTCAAATATTAAAAATAAAAAAGCAGAGGCCCTATCATGGGTAACTACTGTCAGGAGTCCCTGGTGGTGCAACTGGTTAATGCTCTCAGCTGCTGACTGAAAGGGTAGAAGTTCAAGTGTATCCATAGACACCTTGGAAGAAAAATCTGATGATCTTCTTCCAAAAAATCAGCCATCGAAAACTCTATGGATATATGTGTGTATACGTGTATGCATATATACATGTATCTAAATGTATATATGTGTGTGTGCATGCATATATATACACATACACACATATATACATATAAAATAAAGCACACAGGGAGCACAGTTACGGATACTTCTTAGATGTAACCAACCACCTCACGGAATTGGTCTGCAGTTGAAGCTTTAGGACCATAGTCTCATGGAACAACTCAGTCAACTGGCATAATATAGTTCATAAAGTTTATGTTCTGTAGTCTGGGGTTTTAAAAGCTTGCAAGAGGCCATCTAAGATACAACTATTGGTTTCTTCTCCTCCAGAGCAAAAAAAAGGAAGGAAACCAAAGACTCTGAGAAGAAATTAGTCTACAGGACTGACAGTGTACATGTGGTCTACCCTGAGATCAGAACTAGATGGTGCCTAGCTACCACTAACAACTATTCTAATCAGGGCCACAATAGATGAGTCCTGATAGAAGGGGGAAAATGTGGAATAGAACTTAAATTCTTAAAAACTGCAGACTTACTGGACCAGTTGAGACTAGAGGACTACCCAAGACTATCACCCTGAACCATATAAATCTTGAACTGAAACTACGTCAAGGTCACCTTTTAGCTAAATAACAGATTGGCTTATAAAATAAAAAACATTACCAGTGACTACTGTGTACCTTTAAAAAATCATCTATATGAGACATGAGACCAAATGATCAACAGTTACTCTAAAGCAAAGATGCAAGTGTAAGGGAACAGGAAAACCAGATCACTGGAAACTAATGAAATTAATTAGAATGTTGATACATTGTGAAAAATGTAACCAGTGTCACCGAACGATTTGTGTAGTAATATTTAAATGGGAACCTAATTTGCTGTGTAAATTCTCACTGAGAATACAATAAAATACTATTTTTTTA